GCCTTAGTAAATATCTCAAGGCCAGAGTGATGGTACAGTGGGTAGGGTTCTTGCCTTGCATGTGGCCAGCCTGGGTCTGATCCCCAGTATCTATTATGGCCCCCCCAATTCCTGTCGGGAGTGCAGAACTAGGAGTAAATCCTTAACACAGGGTGTGCCTCAAGAAATTACCCCCATCCTGGAGATGCATAGTGAAAGTAGACTATAGACCGAACATGATTGCCACTCAATGCCTCTTTTGCAAACCACAGCACCCCAAAGGAGAGAGAGAACAAAAGGAAATGCCCTGCCACAGAGGCAGGGTGGGATGGGGGTACAGGGGGTGGGAGGGATACTGGGATCAGTGGTGGTGGAGAATGGGCACTGGTGAAGGGATGGGTACTCGATCATTGTATAACTGAAACCCAAGCACCAAAATTTGTAAGTCTACAATTGTACCTCATGGTGTTTCACTAATAAAAATTAAAATATAAAGAAATTACCCCCATCCTCCCAAAGAGTAACTATTACAGGAGTTGGGGACATGGCTAAAGTGACCGTATACAGGCCTTCTGTGCACGAGGGCCTGGTTCAGTCCCCAGCAGTACAGTCCCCCACCCTCCCCCCTGTACTACTAGAAGTGGTCATTAATGTTCTGATCCACCCAATGGCCCCCACAAGAATAAAAAGAATCCTAGGTAAAAATTTAAGGTTATCAAGGTAACAGACCTCGGGGCTAAAAGAAACAGCAAAACCTCCTCAGCATCTATCACCTTATGCTGATTCCCCTTAAATAAGCTTTATTGCCATTTGCTTATGTATGCATACAAGATTTTTCTCTTCTTTGAATAATGCACAAAGTCTGTGAAGATGAGGGATATGGAGACCCATTTTCACCCAGATGGGATTGAATTGTGCCTGCTTAACTAGTCTGTGTATCTTCTTTCCCCTTTTTTCTTTTTTGGAGGGGAGACTTGAGGAGCACTCCTCTTGGTGTCAGGGGTTACCCTAGAGGCTGCTCAGAGGACCAGGCAGTGCCAGGGATGGAATCTGGGTTCAACTACATGAATGACAAGTGCTTTATCTCTTGTACAATCAGTCCAGACCCAAAGACATGGAATTTTAAAATAGTGTTCCTGTGTTTCAGTCGCTGTAAGCCATCCATTGATGGAAGCTTTGGGTTACTGTTTTGAAGGTAAATCAAATAGTCAAGTTTTAGGTTTGAGCTACAGGCCAACTCTTCCCAGCATGTTTTATTTTGGTTTTGGGGCCATACACGGCGGTGCTCAGGGATTACTTCTGCCTCTGCACTCAGGAATTACTCCTGCTGGTGCTCAGGGGACCATGTGACATGCCGGGGATCGAACCCGGGTCGACATCGTGCAAGGCAAAGACCCTCTCTATTGTACTATAACTCCAGCTCCCTTCCCAACACTTCTGTAACCAGAAACTATGCGGAATTTACCAGAGTCCTTTGAGGATTTAAATAGCACATGGGTAGAGCAGAACAGTGGATGCTATTTCAACTTTCCAAAAGTTTGGCATGCTTTTAAACCCAAAGCTGTTTAGACAAAACTGAGTCACCCTGGGATTGGGGGACAGTTTTGTCCTGCCCGTTTATCTATGATTGGAGGGAAGACACCAAAATATAAAATATAAAGGGCCCTCCTGAATGGTAGAAAAATCACACAGCAGGGCTTCAAAGCATCAGCCATGAGACTAATTTGATTTCATATTTCTAAATGATTTGAAAAGAGGGACTGCAGGGTAAAATTGGTCAGTTGGCAGATGTCTTCGCGGTATTATTCCAATGAGGATAATAAACTTGGGGAAGATGTTGGTTTTGTATGAGTGGGCATAAAAAAAAAAGAAGCCAGCAAGCTTCAGTGGGAACAAATTCAAGGAACTGTCTCTCGGGGCACATTCTCGGAAGTTCATGTCCAAAGATTTATAACGAGCCTTACCTCGTTATCTGTGAATTTGGGTCTCTGCTGCAGGCATCGGTGTGTGTAAAGAAAGAGAAGATGGCACTGGAGATGTCATCTGGAGGGGGTGATACTGAAACAGCCTGTTCTGTGAACAGTCAAGAGGAGGAGAGTCACGAACTGCTTCCTGCCAGATAAAGACAGTTCCTTGCCTGTCTTCCATACGCCCCCAAAGGCAATTGGTTTTAGATGGTGGGCGATCTGTGTATTCACTAACTGTGAAAAAGTGGAAAAAACTGAGGGTGTTTGGCTACCATGTGAAAGCAAAGGCAGTCAGTCAGATGGTCTGTTTCCCTTGCCCCCAGAATACTGTCATTTTCCTAGGACAACTTGGAATTCTGAAAGCCAGAACAGGTTTCCTCCTCGGCTATCATCCATATATTTAAAATTTTTTTTTGTTTGATCACCATGAAATATACAGTTATAAAGTTGTTCATGGTTGGGTTTAAGTCACACTGTGTTCCAATACCCCTCCCTTCACCACTGTTTCCCACCACCAATATCCCCAGTTTCCCACCCACAGCTCTTCTCTCTCTTTTCTCTCTCTCTCTCTCTCTAGGCTTTCTTCTCTCTTTCTCTCTCCCTCTTTCTCTCTCTCCCATTTTCTGTCTTATTCTTTATAATACAGATACTGAAAACTTTCAGTTCTTGTCCAGAGTGATCATTTCCAGCTATCATTGTCATGGCGGTCGCTTCTCTGTCTTGACTATCTTCCCACTTCCAACTATGGCAAGCTTCCAACCCTGGATCACCCCTCCTGGGCCTCATTTCTACTGTCCTTGGGTATTAGTCTCTTAGTATGTTCCTTTTTATATACCTTAAATGAGTGCAATCATTCTATACCGTCCATAGTTTTTCAAAGCTTGCCCTGATCATCTGTCAGTGTTCTAGATCAGGGAAGGGACTGTGGAACGGAACTAGATCAATACCTTCTGAAGTTGGAAGTTTGACAGTAATAACAAGACCATGAGACCCTCCCTCTCCACCTCACAGTATGGTTGTGAGGTAATGACAGGGAGGAAATTGCTATGGAAAAGTGTAAATAGACGGTCCATTTAGTGACTTTTTCCTGGTGTCAGATGGGGCCAGAAATATCATTGATTAAATTTGGGGAACTTAACCTTCTTGAAGTATGCATGTACATATGCAAAGATTGCTGATCAAGGCTCTTTTTTGTTTATATTTGCAAGATATTAGAACTAGCTCCACTGTTCATTATTAAACCTTTAGAATATTGTCTACTGATACAGCAGAATCAAGAAATAAGAATAAGTAGAATGGAGCACATGGAATATATTCGTGATGAATATTGTGATAAGAAAGTGGCACATCTTGGGGGCTGGAGCGATAACACAGTGGGTAGGGTGTTTCCCTTGCACGCAGCCAACCCGTGTTTGATTCCCAGCATCCCATATGGTCCCCTGAGCACCGCCAGGAGTAATTCTTCAGTGCAGAGCCAGGAGTAACCCCTATGTGTCGCCGGGTGTGACCCAAAATGCAAAAAAAAAATGGCACATCTCAGCCAGAGAGATGATTCAAAGGCCTGTGTACAGGCTTTGCATGCAGAAGGCCTCGGTTCGATCCCTGGCACTGTAAACCCCCTCCCTCCCCCCCCCCCCTCTCAAGCACCATCAGGACTGACCCTCAACCCTCAAGCAATGAGCCCTGTGTCTCCCGCAAACAAAAAGCGGTGCTCAGGGCTTACTCCTGGTGCAGTGCTTGAAATCACTCCTTCTGGTGCTCAGGTGCCAGGAATCAAACCTGCCTCAACTGCATACAAGGGAAGGACATTTACCCCTGTACTACCTGTCTAGCCCTGATTCCATTACACATTAGGGTCAGGATGCTAGTTCAAGGAGCCAGGAACACATGTTTGGCACACTGGTGTTCCGCTCCTCACGGGGGCTGACAGGCATAATTGATGCTGCAAATGGCTTGAGAGAGAGAAAAAAAACCTCTGCAAATGGCTTGAGAGAGAGAAAAAAAAACTCCAGAAATGAATCCCAGCTCCAAGGCCTACAGGAAGTGTGAGGAGGAAGTAGAGGAGAAAAGGTGAAGAATATTCAACATTTCTCCATCAGATGAATAGAAAGCACATGTAGGGAGAGAAGGTTCTTTCTCTGAACTTCCCAAGACCTTTATGAGCACAATTTGATTGGGGAGAGGGAGGGGGCGATCATGAAGAGGTTAGGCTACACCTGGTGCTATTCCTGACTCTAGGCTCACAAGTCACCCCTGGCAACGGTGGGAGCATCATTACAGTACCAGGCATTCTAACCTGGGGCACAGGCAATGCCAGTCCCTTAACCCAGAGCTGTACCTCTGGCCCCTGGAAGGAGTTTGCAGCCAACTGCGAATACACAAGTTGGGTGACTCTGGGATGTGAGATGGGGGCAAAGGCCCACCAAAGGCACCCTGAAAAAGTTGTGGTACAACATGGAGTGCCTGGAGACCATCTGCATGCTCATGCCCCAGCCTTCATCCCACACCAATACCTCTTCTGTCCTGCTAGTGCCTTTTAGCTTTATGAACCATGCCCTGCTGCTCCTCATCACTGAGAGCCAAGGACTGGGGGGGAAACTATCTGGAGTGGGGCTAGGGCCACCCCCAGCAGGGCATAAGGGCTATTCCTTGGCCCTGTGCTCAGGAGTCCATCCGTACTGGGGATCCAGCTAAGGTGGCGCTAATGTAGCCACATGCAAATGCCTTCTCCTGAATTGTCACATGCGAATATCTTCTCCTGAACACGCAAGGACCTTCTCCTGGATTGTCACACGCAAGCACCATCTCCCGAATTGTGTCCCTGCCCCCTGAAAACTTGACCCTGCCCTGACAGCAGCTGATTTCCCACATACCCGTGTTTCATCTCCATCCCAAATAGGCGGACGCGTGTTGCGTTCAGTTTGACCAGTGGTGCCAATAGCAGACAACGGTTCCGTGGCTTGAGTTTTCTTCTGTAGTGGCTAATCTCTCTCTCTCTCTCTCTCTCTCTCTCTCTCTCTCTCTCTCTCTCTCTCTCTCTCTCTCTCTCTCCAGATACAGCCAGAAGGCAGCGAGGAATGGAATGAAAAACCAGTTCAACCTCCATGAGCTGAAAATGAAGGGTCCTGAGCCTGTGGTCAGTCAGATCATCGACAAGCTGAAGCACATTAACCAGGTATGTACCCACGACACTGAAGCCGGAGGGTGGCGACTGTGGACATTATATTCTGGGGTCTCAGGACGGTGGGTGCCTTTGTTCCTTTTCTTCAAAGGTGCTTTGGACTCAAAAGAACCTCTGGCCTGTGGTCTTCACCTTCTCTTTAAATTACAAGGATCATTTTGGCATATCAGTGAATGCTTGGACTAGAGGGGAAAGGCATTCCTCACAGTCTTATCCTCTACTCCATCCTGTTTTCACTCCTCTGGCCTATTTTTCTTTGGATGTGTTCTTTTCCAAGATTTGTTTAGAAAAATCACATCTACAGAGTTGAAAGGATTCGAATGCCAGTGAGATAATACCCTGGGTATGGTGTGTGCCGTGCATCCTACCAAACCTGGTTTGAAGCCGTCGTGCCACATATGGTCCCCCCCAGTACCACCACGTGAGGGCTGCAGTGATAGCATAATGGGTATCACTGATTTGTCTATGGTTAAATATCTTATTTGCCTAGCACGCGGCCAACCCGCGTTCGATTCCCAGCATCCCATATGGTCCCCTGAGCACCACCAGGAGTAATTCCTGAGTGCATGAGCCAGGAGTAACCCCTGTGCATTGGTAGGTGTGACCCAAAAAGCAAAAAAATTAACTTTATACCTGAAACACCTTTTCATGCATCATCATAGTAATCATTCTTCATAATTGTACATGGTTTCCTTGAGTATTTATCATGATTTTGTTTTGTGTCATAGCCAAGCAGTGTCTCAGAGAAATCATGTGGGTCGGGGGATTGAACCCAGGATTTCCACATTTCCAGGCATGTGCTCTGGCCTTTTGCTCTATCTCCCCAGCCCCATATGAATCAATTGTAATTCATCAGATGACATTTTGTGGTGGTGGTTGTTGTTTCTTAGGCCACACACAACTTGTGCTCAGAACTTACTTCTGGCTCTTTATTCATGGAGCGCTCCTGGCAGGGTTTGGGGGACCCTATGCCGTACCACGGATTAAACCTGGGTCAACCCCATGCAACGCAAATGCGCTACCCACTGTACTATCTCTCTGGCCCGTCAGACTGCTTTTTCTGGAAATGCAGATTGCACCCACTTTATGGTTCCATCCCAAATGAAGCTCAGTCAGCATGCATCACTTTTTCTGTTGGCTCTGAGATCATACTTATTAATGCCCGGGGTGACCGGATTCAAGAATTCGAGCATTTGAATATCTGCTTCCAATTTGTTGTTCACTGGGGATGCAACAGCTTTCTCTGTTGCCAGCAAGATGTGAAGTGAAGGACCAGCTTCAGTGCCCTTGCCAGCTTCTGACTCACTGAGACACCCACAGGTTCCCTTGACCTGTGCACAGAGTTTTTCCTCTCAGAAGGAATTTAGTAACTAAGACACAAACAGGAGTTAGTCTTCCCATCTGCTTGTGATTGTTTTGTGGCCACAGTGGGGAATGGGGGTGGAAAGCCACTATAGAACAGAGTGACAGTGACAGTGTTCCTGCCCCATGATCCATGAGTGGGAGGGCCCTGGCACTGCCGGCTTCTATTTGTAGCCTAGGAGGCACTTCGGATGCAACACAGATCCTCCTTCCCTGAGGACATGAGTTCCTGTAGGTAGCCATTGGCCCGCTTGTGATTTTGTGCTCTGAAGTTTCAGAGTGAGACTTTTGTGCTTCTTCGAACTGTGGGGGGAGGGCTTTGGAGTCACCGTGTCTTTCGGCACAAACTGCCTGGCACTTGACAACTCGTTTGGGGTTGACTCTTCCAAGTGCCTCCTCTGATGCCCAACACCCAGTGAGCACTTGATACAAGAGCTAGTCCGGCTCCTGAACACACAGTAATGGCCACATTTGCACACTGGAGCCTTCCTTTTGGGACCCCGCCAGCTCGGAGAATGCTAGACAGTATCATAAGAAATCCTCTGATTCATTCAGAATGCCTCACGGAAGGGTTTACAACCTCACAACTTCCTCACAATGGAAGCGTGGGCAGGGCCAGAAAGCTAATACAGTCAAAGAACTTGCCTTGTACAAAGCTGACCCCAGTTTGATATCCAGCTCCACATATTGGTGCCACATGCACCACCAGAAATGATTCCTAAGCACTGAACCAGGAAACGCTCCGTGAGCACCACTGGGTATGGCCCCCAAACCAAAATGATAGTAATAATAAAAGAGTCACAAAAGGCCACATAGATAGTACAGCAGATACGTCGCTTAGCATGCATTTAAGCTGACCATAGTTCAATCCTTCAATCAGAGGACATGCAGTCCCCTGAGACCTTCCAGGAGTGATCCCTTGAGCACAGAGCCAGGAGTAAACCCTGAGCACAACCGGGTGGGGCCCTCTTCTTCCCCCCCCCCCTCAAAGAATCTAGGTTGTGTAATCTCATGGCTCTGTATTCTGTTGTGGATCTAATAAGATACGTAACCATAGCCAAATCATTGAAATTCTCTGAGCTTTAGGTTTTTTCATCCGTAGAAGATAGAAATAGCCGAGTCTCAATTACGAGGTTATTGTGAAGCTGAATCTATTGATGATTAATATAATTATATATAAAATACATCATTTTATGACATTAAAATTATGCATTTGAGAGATTATAGGTTGATATAATACATCAAATTGCATGTATATGAGCGATAATCAGTGGCAGGTGGCTCATCTGAATATAACCCAGATGATTAAAATCTGGATTTTCCCTTTCAGCAGGACTTGTGTTGGACACAGCAGTAGTCCCATGCTTTTATCCAAATTCTGTTCTCCTGGTTATGTGTGCTTGCAGATAACTTTGATGAGTCTTATCCTCTTTCTCTGCCCCCATACTACCCCCTTATTTCCATTTTCTCTCATTTCTAGCTAGAGTGGAACTGGAGTGTATCCGGTCATACTGGATGAGCTCATTTGTCTGTGACATAGAGAGTGAAAAGACAAGACTATATCGAATGATGACAAACCTTTGGCCTGGATTTACAAAACTCATTATCCAGCAGTGAGGGGCGGGTTGGGATGGGAAATTAAGATCAGACTAGAGGTGACATAGGGACAGTGGTGGAGTGCTTGGGCACTTGGTGGTGATGAGATACAGTAATTTGGTACATCGATACCATCAACTTCAACACAAGTCTAACCATCGTCCCTAAGCAGAAGTCACACCCTAGGTAAGGAAGTCTATATGATCAGAGTCAGAAAGGTCCTCATTGCTTTCTCTTTCTCCTCCCTCTAGCAATGCCTATGTGTGAACATCTTTGGTTCCCTTACAAATACCGTTGAGCAATAATTAATTCTCATTGATAGACCAGTTTTACCTGTTTAAGTAGAGCTGTTGAGATTGGTTGGCCTCCAAACTCCCACATTGATTTTTCTTTCCCTTCACCTGTGGGGTTGTACATGGCACAAACACGTTTTCCTTCAGACCCTCAATACAGTTTCATATTTTGGCCCTGACTCAACCTCAGAGGAAGTTTACTTTAGAAGTCCAGCGTGCTAGCCATTGCTGCCACAGAGCCACCCTTAAAAAAGAGATACTTAAGAGAAATCTGAAAGACGCATGGGAGGCTGAGTGTAATGAGAATTATTATATTTGTGTAGCATTTAATCCTATGGCAAAGTATTCGCCTGTTCTCAAAGTCTAATTGTTTATATCAGAGCAGACTCTCCTCTTAGGAATTGTATAAAACCATCTTGTCAGAGAATCATGGTTTCTGAGAACACATGGGTACCCTTGAACATTATTTTTTTCCTCACTGTCCCTCCCCCCCACCCCGCGAGAGGGAAGGGCCACATAATGCATAATGAGCTTCCCCTTTTTTATGGCTAGGGAAACTGAGGCAGGAAGCCATTAAATGCGGGCTGGGCCTGCTGCCCAAACAGCCCATGAGTCCCCTTGAAAGATCGATCCATCCTCCAGATGTTGCTTCTGCGTCATTGCCAAACATCTGGATTCACTGAAGGCCTGTCTAGATAGACCCCAAATTTGTCTTGTTTTTTTGGAGGGGGGGTCACACCCAGCAATACTTAGGGATTACTTCTGGCTCTGCACTCAGAAATTACTTCTGGTGGTTCTTGGGGGACGGTATGGGATGCCAGGGATTGAACCCGGGTTGGCCATGTGCAAGGCAAACGCCCTACTCACTCTCCTATTGCTCCGGCCCCCCAGACCCTAAGTTTGAAGGATGAGAGTAGAAGCAAGTGAAATTGCCTGCATTTATACATGAGTGGCATCTCTAGCAGTGTCATGTTATTTTCTTAACCCCCTTGCTCAGGGCACTCTCTGTTCCATAACATCCAGGAGGAGGCTTCCTGCCTCCCTGCCCGCCAAACTGGAAAGCCAGTGATGCTGTGCTCTTTCCCTGCCTGTCTCCTTAGGGGCCTGCATCTTAGATGGACCAGAGCTATGTCATCTTTCACCACATTCTAGAATAATGCTCCCCTTTCTTCTCATTTCTGCTCTCATCCTGTCTTGCACTCTATTGACTCTCTGTGCCATTGTTTTCTCGGTTTTTCTTTTTGAGCTCTTTAAACATCCTCAACATTTCCTCTCTGAAGTCCTTATTCTGAAAAGTTATGCAGCTGGTTAATACTGGTTGATTCACCATCTTCAAGGACCGTTCTCAGCTGCCTCCATTCATGTTATGGTTATTGTTGCTCACACTGGAAGTCAGATCCTCACTCAGGGAGTGAAGTAACAGTATTTCCCTATTGATAGGCCTCACGGAGTAACCCTGCAGGTAGGGATTTGGGGTCAGATCCAGGCCCCTTTTCCTGGGAAGGCCTGCAGGTGTAGAACGCCCATTGCTCCTTCCACACCCGAACTCCTGGTGCAACCGTTTGGAAATGTGGACTTTGGTTCCTCTTTTCTGTTTATAATTTGGGCGTGGTGTTTGGAGCGGAATGGAGTACTTTGTGGGGGATGGAGTTGGGGTGGGCCACACCCAGTGGTGCTCAGCACTTCTTCCTGGCTCTGTGCTCAGAAATCCCACCTGTTGGTGCTCAGGGAAACCTATGCAGT